GGTCTGGAACAAGGAGAGCCGCACCTGGGAGGACCCCCCAGGGTCTGAGCTGCAGGCCTACGATGCGGAGGCAGCGGCGCGCAACGCGGCGCTCAGGGGGGAGCGCCCCGCGGTGGACTACTACGCACTGCTGGAGGGTGCGGGGGTGGGGGGTTGGGGGCCTCCTGTTCATGCACGCGCGCTCGGGGACGAGGGGAGCAGGATTGTTTGCGATTGTCATGAGTGATGTTTCAAGGGCAGGGGTCTGGTTGTGGTGCAGCTGCAGCTGCGATTTGAGTCAACATGGCTTTGCATGCGGCCGCCCTGGCAGCAGGCGAGGGAGGCGGGGCCTGCGGCCGCTGAGGCAGCGTGCGCCGGCGGCGGCCGCAGCGTGACAATTCCCTTTGCTTGCTGCTGCACGCCCCCCTGCCCCGAATGCTGTGGCTGTGCAGTGCCGCGCGACGCTGACGCGGCCCTGGTGAAGCGGCAGTACTACCGTCTGGCCCGCCAGTGGCACCCCGACAAGAACGCCGGCAACGCGGAGGCCACCACCAAGTTCCAGCTGCTGGGGGAGGCATACCAGGTTGGGAGAGGGGGGCTGGGGGGGCGAGGCAGGGGCCCTGGCGGGGCCTTGAAACAGGGGGACCCGGGGGAAGACGGCGCGGCGGGCTCGGGTGCAATGGCAGCAGCGTGTCGCTGAGCCTTGCGGCTGCGGTCGCCGTTGGCTGCTGGCGTGCCTCCTTTTGAAGCCCACTCTTTTTACTAGCTGATGCCACCGCCATGCGTCCCCCCGGTGGCGCCGCCTTTCCTTGGCCCGCGCCTGCCGCTCAGCTCACCAGGTGTGTCCTGACACCTGTCTGCTTGACCAAACCGTTGACACCCTCAAGCTGAAAAGCGCCCCCTCTTCGCCCCCTGTTCCCCCCCCCCCCAACATCAGGTCCTGTCTGACCCTGAGCTGCGGGCGCGCTACGACAAGCACGGCACAGAGGGGCTGGACGTGAACTTCATAGACCCCTCAACCGTGTTTGGCATGCTCTTCGGGTCGGAGGTGAGAAGCCGCAGGGGCGCGGCCGGGGGCGGGCAGCGCCGGTGGCAGTCGGATGGGCTGAGGAGGGCCCAGCAATGTTTTGGTTCTGTGAATGATTGATCCGGCAGGGTTCAACGGGAGATGCGTCAGCTTGTGCTTTGCGTTCTCCTGAACGTGCTCACCTCCCAAACCTCAACGAATCTTGAACTTCTTACCTGATCACAGACCACCACTGCCTACAACCCGTCACCCCTCCGCTGCCCATGTGCCCCCTGGACACCCCCCCCACCCCCCCTCCCCCAGTTGTTTGTCCCTCTGGTGGGTGAGTTCCTCATCGCCACCGCGGCCTCCAAGGGGCGGGAGCTCAGTGAGGGCGAGATCACGGCCATGCAGGAGGTGGGGGGTTGGAGAGGATGTGTGCGTGTGTGCGTTTGTGTGCGTGTGTGCGTGTGTGCGTGAGTGGTGTGTGTGTGTATGCGTGTGTATGTGTTGCGTGGACACATGCGTTTGTGTAGGAGTGCGAGGTTCTCTGTAAGACTGTGAGTTTTCAAGCTTGGGGACCTGAGTTTAGTGAGCCTAAGTCCTCGTTTGCCTGATGCTGGTGCACCCCTTGACTAGCACACGTGATTTTGACCACCCCTTCACCTCCCCCGCCCCCCCGGCCCCCTGCACCTGGCACAGGTGCGCATTGCCAAGCTGGTGGTGACGCTGTCGGGGCGGCTGTCGCCATATGTGGCCGGGGAGAAGGAGGGATTCACGGAGGTGCAGACCATCAACGCACAGCAGGTGGGCGGCGCGCCACCGCACAGGTGTTGGTGTGGGGGTTTGGCGGCAGATGGACAGTAACCGGCCGCTGATGGGTATGCATGAGCTGCAGCTGCATGTTCTATCGCACAGCGAGGCCCCGCTCGCAGCAATACAGCCTGCACCATGTCAGGGCCACACGGCTTGAATATGCTCCATCAACACCTCGCGCACACGTGCCCTCGTTATCATCAATCCAGCCCAACTTGGCGCTTGCCCCTCCCCTTGCCTTCCCTTTGTCCCTGACCTTGGCATTCCTGCCCGCACCTGCCTGCCCTGTTCACCTCTTCCCCTCCTAAACACACCCACCCAGCTGGCGTCGGCGTCATTTGGCGAGGTGCTGCTGCAGGCCATAGGCGGCGTCTACGCCAACGAGGCCGCCACGTTCCTGGGGGGCAGCAACCCCTTCGCGGTGGCGGCTGCGCGGCTGCGGCGGACGGGGCACAACATACGCAGCCAGCTGCAGGCGAGGGGGGCCGCAACGGCTGACTGCGACGCTCGACGCCGCGCCCTGACGCGGGAATTGTTGCGTCGCAACTTGCGCTGACACCTGCTGCTGTATCGTCTCCTCGATTGTCGACCCTGACTTTTAGTGGCGCCCCCTTCAAAACCACCATCACTCAACCACGCAGGCGGCCCAGGCGGCCGTCCAGCTGGCGCAGCACCAGGCACGCGTTGAGGCCGCTGACGAGGCGCTGCAGCAGCAGGCGGCGGCGCTCAAGGCGCTGGAGGAGGCGGGGGAGACGCTGCCCGAGGAGGCCAAGGTGCAGCTGTACGGCCTCATGATGGCGCGGTGGGTGGCCCGGAGCAGGGGGGTGTGCGTGCGTGTTTGTCTGTGTGTGCATGCGTGTGTGTGTGTGTGTGTGTGCGTGCGTGTGTGTGTGTGTGTGTGTGTGTGTGTGTGTGTGTGTG